TTTTTCGGCCTGCTAGTCTCACATCGGAAGTGAAAAGGTTATTAAGGATATGAAAATTCTCCTACGAAAGAAAAGAATTTTGAAAGTGATGTCATGTATTGTATTTTTGGACGACTACTGTACTGATTAAACAAAATTTGTACGATCTGGTATCGTACGAATGAAAACATTTTTGCGCTTGCTCCTTCGGATATTTCACACAAATTGTCGGTGATCGGCTCTCCATCATGCTGTATACTAACGATCCGAATTATCGGGATGATCGGTCCTCTCCATACGAAAATGTTCGTACAATATTCTTATAGTGTGTACGGTAGGCATAACCCTTTCGCTACTGGAGACTTTTTTTTTTGCACGTGTTAATATTGTAGGCCAGAAGACTTGTCTAAAACCACCAAATATTATATATTTTCTGGATACAGAGACCCTGGAGAATGAAATATTTGTTGGCTGAGTGTGGAAATTGGTGAGGTCTTACGACAGCTTTTTGATATCACGCTTCGCAAACGTCATCTCTATCGGCAAAATAAGACGGCCTTTTTGTTCGCTTTTTGGATTGACACCTTCGTAGACAAATCACTTATTTTGAAGGTATCATCCCTGACTTCTCCCAGGTGTAATCGCTCCTTTTCGAATGCTAGATCATTTCCTTACCCCCCCTCTATATAGACAGAAATGGGATATTGATTTGCAGTATTTATTGTTGTCAGAAGAGGGCTGGGAATCCATTGTGGATGAGTATAATGTAGGAGCTCTCTCGGTCTGGGGAAACGGCCCTTAATAGTTTTTAACCTGTTGGTATTATTACCGCGCCTCTAGACTACACTATCATGTGTTTTCCAGGAAAATGTCGCACCTCTGTTTTTTTCGGGTGGGTTGAGACCTTGCGTTGTTACCCTTGTGCATATGTTTTTTGGGCGTTTGTCCTATGTCTTTCCTTGAGCTGGCCGTAATTTTTCTGAGGAGAGAGTCGGAAGGCGACCATAACGTGGGGCCTTCCGTGCGGATACTCCAAATTGCAACTTTGTCTATGCATGTTTTGTTTACTGGGTGCTTCCCATTACAAGGATTCCAACAAATTACAATATGGCTCTGAAATCTACTAACCTCACCTCTTCTCAAACAGGGGCTGCCCAGTATAGATACCCTGGGGTGCCTTTTGAGGTTTCTTCAGTGTTGTACTTGGTAGTAAAATAATCTTAAATATCACCCAAAACTTGCATACAAGCCAGCAGGCGGACAAGCCTGCCTTTTAGCGGTTAAGAAAAGCACCCCCTCTAAAATGTTGTGTGTCCTACATGAGTGGATTTTGCCGTGCTGCAATTATAAAAACTATTAGGAATAGTTTTCTCACACTTTAGAATGGGGTGCCCTTTTAAAATTTTGGACAGTCTTGAGGCACCACTATTTTAGAATGGGGTGCCTCAAGACTGTCCATCATTTTAAAGGGTGCCTCAGGACCGTCCATAATTTTTTAAAGGGTGGAATTGACTGAAAAAAGGTTGAGAAACACTGCCTTATGGGCCATTGCCCTTCATTGGAAGTTCACCCAGTGGTACCTTTGGCCTTGTTTTGCGGAGTAGTCGATATGGTGATGCTCATGGATTGTATTCAATATACATTGCTGGATAGGATGCACATATTCAACAGAAAATGGGATGGTTGGAAAAGACATCGGCATTTATTGTTCATTATTGTTTAAAAATATATTTATTGAAGGAACAAAGTAAGTATCATACTCACAATAAACATAAAAACACAGGCATGTCCAACTGAACAAGATGTTTGATCCACAACAGCATCTGAGTCCATACGATGGAACCCTGGATGACCAACTGGCTAACGCGGATTCGAGCACACAACCTCTTCCTCAGAGCCCTCAGGGCGTTAGCCAGTTGGTCATCCAGGGTTCCATCGTATGGACTCAGATGCTGTCAGGAATGGACTCGCCAATGGTGGTGGGGACTCACCTGCCTTGTGGGCTGCAGTACAGGGCTGGCCAGAAGGGGTGCTCTCCAGACAACCCAGAAGCCCACTCCTGCAATCAGCCATCATCTGAGGCTGATTGCAGGAGGTGTATTTAAAGGACATGGCCCAGACCTGCAGTCAGTGCCTTGGTGTTTGTTTCCCATCTGCCCTGTTTCCTGTATCCTTGTCTGCTCGACTCTCCTGCTAGATGACTAGCTGACTCTGACAGAACTCCGCCTGCACTGACCTCGGCTATTCCTGACCATTCTTCTGCCTGCTTCCGTTGTACCTTTCTGCCTGATTGTTCCTGACCCGGCCTGCCTGACCACTCCACCTCTCCAGCCCTGACTGCACCTGTACCTATTAGTTTAAGGTTTGTTTTGCACTGTGTTTTGTTTATTTTGTGCAGCTCATAATAAATATTATTATTATTTAATCATTTCTGAAGCCTGCGGTTTCCCTGTGTCAGTCCACACATCTCTGGTCATACCTGGATCCCTGACAGATGCTGTTTGGATCAAACATCTTGTTCAGTTTGACATGCCTGTGTTTATATGTCTATTGTGAGTATGATACTTACTTTGTTCCTTCAATAAATATATTTTTAAACAATAATGCACTAGGTCGGTGCTCCCTCTTTTTTGTTTCTCCATTTGCATTTAGTGTATTTGAAACACCTTGGTCTGTAGAGGGCAGCAAGCAGTGCATATTTCAGAATATTCCAGAACATTCCTATTGGTTCTACTGAGTCCATTCCCAGCGCAGGAGAAAAGTGTTTGTTGTGTTGGCATTTATTGTTCAACTGATGGACTATCATAGATTGATTGGTATTGAATCTTTGTCGGTTGTGTGGTTGTTCTGCATATTATTATTATTATACAGGATTTATATAATATATAGGAATAAATTTTGCACATGCGTGCATTTATGCGCATACGTGCGTAAATTATAAGCTCCTCTCCGAATGCAGTTTTAGGGAATTTTTCTTTATTATTATTATACAGGATTTATATCGCACCAACAGTTTCCGCAGCGCTTTACAATATAAGGGAGACAGTACAATTACAATACATTTCAGTACAGAGGGAATAGGAGGGCCTGGCTCGTGGAGCTTACAATCTAAAGGAAGGGGGAGGTGTTACAAAAAGGTGATAGCTGCGAGGGATGATCTGATGGAGGTGATTCAAGTACAGTTCTTAGGTGGAGGTGGGGTAGGCTTCCCTGAAGAAGTGAGTTTTCAAAGACTGCCTAAAGGCAGACAGGGTGGGGGCTGACCAGACATTCTGTGGTAGGGAGTTCCAGAGAATGGGAGAGGCTCTGGAGAAGTCCTGGAGGCGAATGTGGGAGGAGGTGATGAGGGGAGCTAGAGAATATCTTACTGCCTACTTCATTCATGTACTTGAACTTCATTTTTCTATGATTGTGTTTTATAATACTGTTTACTACTTATGTGCCTTTTTCTTGATGTATACTATACCTCATGAAGTTGTGATGTTCTTGCAGTCTATCCCTCAATAAAAACATTTGTAAACAAAAACAAATTGTGAGGTCACCTGCCTGCTTCTCCACCTCAGCCAATCAGTAGCTTTGGCAGGAAAAGTTGACATCGGCTGAAGAAGTACACACATGACTGCCTTGAGAGAACAGATCACAATATACAAATACAACAAGTACTTATTATTATTATACAGGATTTATATATTATTATTATTATACAGGATTTATATATTATTATTACTATACAGGATTTATATTATTATTATACAGGATTTATATTATTATTATTATACAGGATTTATATATTATTATACAGGATTTATATGATTATTATTATACAGGATTTATATGATTATTATTTATACAGGATTTATATATTATTATTATTATACAGGATTTATATTATTATTATTATTATTCAGGATTTATATAATTATTATTATTATTCAGGATTTATATATTATTATACAGGATTTATATTATTATTATTATTATTATACAGGATTTATATATTATTATACAGGATTTATATATTATTATACAGGATTTATATATTATTATTATTATTATTATACAGGATTTATATATTATTATACAGGATTTATATATTATTATACAGGATTTATATATTATTATTATTATATTATTATACAGGATTTATATATTATTATACAGGATTTATATATTATTATACAGGATTTATATTATTATTATACAGGATTTATATATTATTATTATTATTATACAGGATTTATATATTATTATACAGGATTTATATATTATTATACAGGATTTATATATTATTATTATTATTATACAGGATTTATATATTATTATACAGGATTTATATATTATTATACAGGATTTATATTATTATTATACAGGATTTATATATTATTATTATTTATACAGGATTTATATATTATTATACAGGATTTATATATTATTATACAGGATTTATATTATTATTATACAGGATTTATATATTATTATTATACAGGATTTATATATTAATATTATACAGGATTTATATATTATTATTATACAGGATTTATATATTATTATTATACAGGATTTATATATTATTATTATACAGGATTTATATATTATTATACAGGATTTATATATTTTTATTATTATACAGGATTTATATATTATTATTATACAGGATTTATATATTATTATTATACAGGATTTATATATTATTATACAGGATTTATATATTTTTATTATTATACAGGATTTATATTATTATACAGGATTTATATATTATTATTATACAGGATTTATATATTATATTATACAGGATTTATATATTATTATACAGGATTTATATATTATTATTATACAGGATTTATATATTATTATTATTATTATACAGGATTTATGGCGCCAACAGTTTGCTCAGCGCTTTACAATATAACGGGAGACAATACAGCAACAATACAGATCAATACAAGAGGGGTTAGGAGGGCCTGATCCTGGGAGCTTACAATCTAAGAGGGAGGGGACTTCTAACACGTGTCATATCTCACCTGGAAGGTATCCAGTAGGGGTTTCCAGGACAGCATGAGAACTGCCCCTCTGTTAATGTTCTTCGGGATCTCAGAGTAGAATAGTGTATTCTCTCGGTTCTCTCCAGACATTGCTGAAGGGGCAAAGTAAAAAAGAGATGTGCTAATGAAGCCGCTGGACAGTGATGCTTCACATATACAAACACATTCAATCACTATATCACATCAGATTGAAAATGCAATCATATCAATGGTTGTGCTTACTCAGTGCTGGTTTAAAAAAAAGGAAATAAAAAAGCGCTATAAGCTTTTTATTTTATATTGGACTCAACCAGTGCAGGGACATGGTCATGTAGCACCCAGTACAAAACTGCGCCCCCAGCCAAAATTCACCCCAAACAAAAATTCCTCTGCTCATCCCTGTACAAATCCCCCCTGCTAAAATCTTCCCTCCCAACACAAATCTTTGACCCCCCCAGGGTTTTCTTACCCACGCCTATCTCCTCTTTGCTGGGATTAGATGGGGGCAGGTATAGAAACCCTGCACAGTCCTGATGTAGGAGCGCTGCAGTGGCTGGAGGAAGAGCTGAAGCAGAGAGAGAGAGAGCACAGCCCACACCTCCTCCTGGCTCTCTACTGTTCTCCTGATTTCACTTGTCACTTTCTCATGCTAAGCTGACAGTAGTAGTGAAGCTGGTGATTCCTGTCAGCTTGTAGGGGCAGGAAAACTCCAAGTGCCCCCACCTTACATAATACCACAACGCCCAAGGCAGCCACCGCTCCTACCTGCCGCTTGTCCTGGACCCAATCACTAATCTACTTTTGTTCATTTGTCATTTATTCACCCAGCGTTTATAAAAACAGCACTGTTAAAAAAAAATAAGCCACCGAGTAGCCAATCTGCCCGGTGATCACTATATTCTGAGCGGTCATTAGGCCGCATGGTACACAATGATGCTGTAGCCAGCTCATCCAAGAGGTGGGGTACCATGTGATCACTGTGACTGGTCATCACAGCAATCACAGGGCAGAGGCCGTGGTCTGGTGGTTAGAGAGGAGGACTGCGAAGAACATCACAGCAATCACATGGTATTTACAGTGTGGATCGCCCCCCCTTCTCCTTCCAATAGAGGAAGGAGAGAGATTGAGCATTTGTGAATGGGCACAGAACGAATGGATCAGCAGCTGCAGCTCTAGTCATTCTGTTTCAGTGGTTCATATAGTGAACTCGGTGTAGTTATACCCCCTGAAGTCATCACAGAGGACAAGGGGGCGCTCTTTACGTCTGGAGGAATAGAAATGTAATCTCCAAACACGGAAAGGTTTCTTCACAGTAAAAGCTGTGAAAATGTGGAATAGACTCCCTCAAGAGTTGGTTGTGGCCAGCTCAGTGGATTGCTGTAGGAAAGTCCTGGATTCTTTCTTGGATACACAGAATATAACTGGACATAACATTTATAGGGAAAGTTGATCCAGGGAATATCAGATTGCCTCTCGGGGGATCAGGAAGGAATTTTTTCCCCTGCAGGAGCAACTTGGATCATTGTTTTTTTTTGCCTTCCTCTGGATCAACTGTGGGTGTAGGATTATAACTTTTTTTTTTTTCTATGGTTGAACTGGATGGACTTTTCAGCCAGACTAACTATGTTTCAGCCTGGGCTCACGCTTGTACGGTGCGGGACAGCGCATGTAATTTGCACAGGAATAGCAGCACATTCCTGTGCAAATCACATGCAATGTCTACGCGGTGCGATCTGAGGCATTTATTTTGTATGGCTCAAATTGCATCTGCACCAAATTGGTGCAGGAACCTTACCCCCCCACACACACTGGAATCAGATTGTTTCTGTCAATCGCACTGCGTTTTGCGAACCGATTTGAGGTGTCGTTAACATGGACACTTGCTGCAGTTCTCATGAACGCTGTGCGATTTCAATGCGGTGCAGGAAACATACAGGATTTGCTGCGTTTTCCCACATCGCATATATGTGAACCTTAGCTCAGTGACACATGGATCTTTTTATTAACCCTTTCATGCCCCCCCTTCTCTCCTGCACATCCTAGCTCCAGTGCTGTCTCCTGTATACTAATGCTGTGACCTGTATATTAACTCTTTCACTTCCCTTACCTGTACATCTGAACATTAATCCTTCACCTCCATCCTGCTGTTGTACGTGGCCAGTACATTAACCCTTTCACCTCCTCCTTCCCCTGTATATGACCCATACATTAATGTATCTGGTGCACCATTCTCAATCTCCGTGTTTAATCCCCTCGGTAGTACCGGCACGTTTCTTCATTTTAAAAAAAATTGTGGCAAAAAAGATGAGATCACCTTGGGGTGTCTACTTTAACCACTTCCCGTCCGGCCCATGTATATAAACGGCTGGACGGGAGCAGTGCAGGAGCGGGTTGCCATTTATAAACAGGGCCCGCATTTTCAGCCTGTGGGCGCTCCCTGGGAGCGCGCGGCACCGTGATCTGGTGCTTGCTGTGTCCGGATCCCTTTCTGAGTGAAGTTCCACTTTAAGTACGCCCACGTGAATGAAGCCCATGAGCAGAGGCATCCCTAGGGTTGGTGTCACCCAACACGTGGTAACACGTGGTGTCACCTCTCCAGAGAGGAAGGAGAAGTGCCGGTGTAGTGGTAAAATGAGTATCCCTTGAAGATATGTATCCCCTGAAGCAACTGCGCATGTGCCGGTTTCAGGCTGAAGAAGCTGATCTCCGACTTTAGAACAGAGCCGGTGATCGGCTTCTTCGGCCTGAAACCGGCACATGCGCAGTTGCTTCAAGGGATACTCATTTTATCGCTCCTGCACCCCCTGTATATCATGTCACCCGGTGCGGCCCGCACCCCCCTAGGGTCGCCACTGCCCACAAGTGATCCTGGCCTCCCTCTTTCGGATGCCCCCATAACAAACACCTTCCTATGGGGGCACCTGAGGAGGCACGCTCCCGAGTCGTGGATCTGCGTGTCAATTCACACACAGAGCAGCAGCTCGGCCCGCCCCTCCATCCCCTGATTGGCTCACTGGCTGTGGTTGACAGCAGTGTGAGTTAATGGCTCTGCCAATCAGGAGTGAGAACCCCCAGAGAAGCGAATACATAATAGAATGTATGAAGGTAAAAAACCTGGAGACTTTAGAACCACCTTAAAGCGGAGTTCCACCTGAAAAAATAAATAAATGTCAGCAGCTACAAAAACTGTAGCTGCTGACTTTTAAAACACAGACACTTACCTGTCCCTCGGTCCAGCGGTGTCCTCACCAACACTGGTTTCACCGGCCGTCTTCTCTCCCTGGCATCTTCAGTGTGGGCACCCGGCTGTGACAGATTACGGCTTCCGAGCCGGGTGCCCACTGTGCATGCGCAAGAAGCGCTGCGCTTTGTGAATGGCCCCGTAGTCTTTGGGACCTGTCATGTGTCCCAGAAGACTACGGGGAGGGAGGACAACTTCCGCTTTTGATCGCCTAGGCCAGCCTTTCTCAACCAGGGTGCCCAGGCACCCTGAGGTGCCTTGCCAAATTTCTAAAATTGCCCCAAACTTGTATACAATCCAGCGGGTGGCACAAGCCTGCCTTTTACTTACACAAAGCCACAGGTTTTCATTGTGCACCATTAAGACCTTCTAGCTGCCAGCGTCCTAATCAACCAATGACATCATCAGTTGATAAGGAGGATGTCAGCTGCCTGCACAGTATCCTAGTTTGACCCTCCCCTGCCCCTCTCTGGCATTGCTGGGGTCACATTAGCTCAGTGATGGAAAAAAACTGAGGGAGAAGAGAAACAATGGAATACTAGTCAGTACCAGTGTGCAAAAGTGTATTTGCTTTGGAAGAATAAATCCCCTCGACGTGTGTGGATTTTGCTGTGTTATATAAAAAACTATTAGAATAGTTTTTCACATATAGGAAATGGGGTGCCCTTTTAAAATTATGGACAGTCTTGAGGCACCCTATTTTAGAATGGGGTGCCTCAAGACTGTCCATAATTTTAAAGGGTGTCTCAGGACTGTCCATCATTCTAAAGGGTGTCTCGGGACTGTCCATCATTCTAAAGGGTGTCTCGGGACTGTCCATCATTTTAAAGGGTGTCCTCGGGACTGTCCATCATTCTAAAGGGTGTCTCGGGACTGTCCATAATTTTAAAGGGTGCCTCGGGACTGTCCATCATTTTAAAGGGTGCTCGGGACTGTCCATCAATTTTTAAAGGGTGCCTCGGGACTGTCCATAATTTTAAAGGGTGTCTCAAGGGACTGTCCATAATTTTAAAGGGTGTCTCAAGACTGTCCATAATTTTAAAGGGTGCCTCGGGACTGTCCATAATTTTAAAGGGTGCCTCAAGACTGTCCATAATTTTAAAGGGTGCCTCAGGACTGTCCATAATTTTAAAGGGTGCCTCGGACTGTCCATAATTTTAAAGGGTGCCTCAGGACTGTCCATAATTTTAAAGGGTGTCTCAAGACTGTCCATCATTCTAAAGGGTGTCTCGGGACTGTCCATAATTTTAAAGGGTGCCTCGGGACTGTCCATAATTTTAAAGGGTGCCTCAGGACTGTCCATAATTTTAAAGGGTGCCTCGGACTGTCCATAATTTTAAAGGGCGCCTCAGGACTGTCCATAATTTTAAAGGGTGTCTCAAGACTGTCCATAATTTTAAAGGGTGTCTCAAGACTGTCCATAATTTTAAAGGGTGTCTCAGACTGTCCATAATTTTAAAGGTTGCCTCAGGACTGTCCATAATTTTAAAGGGTGCCTTGACCTAAAAAAAGTTGAGAAACACTGGCCCAGGCGATCTCAGTGGAAGTGGGAGCCGGTACCTGTCAAATTCGGGTACCCTCTCCCCAAAGGTGCCAATCCTTAATGGGGAGCGGGGGACAAAGGCTTAAATTGGAACCTCCCCTTTTGGGTGGAGCTCCGCTTTAAAATACAAATCATGGTCAGTTGATAGCATCTTAGCAAAGAACTATTTCTTGAAAACACACATGAAACACTGCTAGGAATTGTGATTTATGTGCATTGTGTGTTTGTGAAACATTACTGATACTAGAGAACACAAAGCGAAGTGTGCTTGCACAGGTGACAAAGCAAGATGGGAAAAACTTACAGGTAACCCATTCAAGAAAGAAAAGAAAATGGAAATAAAAGAACACAACAAATTATCTGTGTTGGTATTTTACACCCAATTAAAAAAAAAAACCGCCAGGCACCTTTGCTTATACCAGTGGTCGGCAAGCCGCGGCTCGCAAGCCACATGCAGGCTCTTTACACACACTAATGCGGCTCTTCTGTGTGCCGGGCGCCTGCTCCCCTCCCTCCTCTCGGGCGGCCGCCCCAAAAAAGTCAGGACCTTTAAATCCGGCCCGTGGATGTGGCTGTCAGGATGTGTGTGTAGGCGGGGCAGCGTGACGAGCGTGAGGGGAGGGGAGCTAGGCTCCTCTCACAGTCCGCCCTGAAGACCGGAACGGCGCGGGAACACAGCGAGAGGAACGCGCGGAGCAAAGGTAAGTGAATTGACACAGGGGGGACTTGGGGACTTAATATGGGGAATGAATTACTATATGGGGGATGAATTACAATGGGGGATTAATTACTATAGGGGGGGATGAATTACTATGGGGGATGAATTACTATATGGGGGATGAATTACTATGGGGGATGAATTACTATATGGGGGATGAATTACTATAGGGGGGATGAATTACTATAGGGGGGATGAATTACTATGGGGGATGAATTACTATGGGGGATGAATTACTATAGGGGGGATGAATTACTATATGGGGGATGAATTACTATATGGGGGATGAATTACTATGGGGGATGAATTACTATGGGGGATGAATTACTATAGGGGGATGAATTACTATAGGGGGGATGAATTACTATATGGGGGATGAATTACTATATGGGGGATGAATTACTATGGGGGATTAATTACTATAGGGGGGATGAATTACTATAGGGGGGATGAATTACTATGGGGGATGAATTACTATATGGGGGATGAATTACTATAGGGGGGATGAATTACTATAGGGAGGATGAATTACTATATGGGGGATGAATTACTATAGGGAGGATGAATTACTATATGGGGGATGAATTACTATATGGGGGATGAATTACTATATGGGGGATGAATTACTATATGGGGGATGAATTACTATGGGGGATGAATTACTATATGGGGGATGAATTACTATGGGGGATGAATTACTATATGGGGGATGAATTACTATATGGGGGATGAATTACTATGGGGGGATGAATTACTATGGGGGATGAATTACTATGGGGGATGAATTACTATATGGGGGATGAATTACTATGGGGGATGAATTACTATATGGGGGATGAATTACTATAAAAACTTATTGAAACTAAAAACAGTGTACCATCCTATGTATTTTCAGTTTTAAAAATGTGGCTCTCAAAATAAATTTCAATCGTGGTTTTGGCGAGATTTGGCTCAGTTGAAAAAAAAAGGTTGCCCACCACTGGCTTATACCATCAATGTTTTCACAGCAAAGCAGTGAAGCGTCACGCACCACATTAACAGGCAAAGCACTCCAAGTCCAATTATAAAACACAAGTAAGATGTACTTACACATACCCAGATAGTACATTCTATCAGAGTGAGGGCTATCTGGGTCATTTCTCTTTACAAAGGTGAAGCTGTGAGGGGCCTTGGCCATCATATACCCATGGTATTTCCTGGTGTCTGCTAGCAGCTTCCGCATCTGGCTCCATGAATGGCGCTCCACATAAAAAGGTTCTGGCTTGGAGTCTCCCCCGATGGGCTCTGTGCTTCCATGGCTGCTTGCGGACTCAAAAATCTCTACTCCGACCTGCTCAGTCTCCATAGCTGCCGCCATGTTGCATCCTGTGGAAAGGTATTATTGTCATTATTCTATTACAAGCCAGTGAACTCTGAACCTTTCACCCACATCCACAGACATTAGAGATGCATATTCCAACACCCATCATTTTAGGCATCAATTGGGACAAAAAATACTTGGACATCATTGGATATTGTAAAAATGCTGTAATTATAAAATAGTTCATGAAAATAAATTATACAACACTAAAGGAGCAAGATACGACTATTACCGCCTATATTAGTGTGGAATCTTCCCCCATTCGGGCTGAACGGCTCCTGGCCCTTTAAGAGTTCTAAAAGCCGGCAGGCGGACATTCGGGTCGTGTTAAGTATGTGAATAGGCAGGCACTACAATAATTGTGTATCAAAAAATAAAAACAAATAAATAATACAGTATACTCTCAACATCATCTAATTATTGATGTTCCTAGACAAAAAACAATATATAGTGAGCATTAACTTTAGTCAGACCACCTATTACCCAATGCTGGAGATGGGGAAGAGGACCAGGAATTAACCACTTCCCGTCAGGCCAATGTACATAAATGGCCAGACGGGAGCAGTGCAGGAGCGGGCCATTCATAAACTGCGCCAGAATTTTCAAGCTGTGCGCGCTTCCTGGGAGCGTGCGGCACCGCGATCCGGTGCCCGCTGTGTCCGATTGCTGTATGGGACCTCTGTGCGAGGTCCCGATCATGTGATCACTGATTGGCCAATCAGTGATCACATGAATAGGTATAAGCAAGATGTCATTTCTGACATCATTGCTTACTACTTGTGAAATCTGTGAATGATCACAGAGGTCACATGGTACAGGGCTATTCACAACAGCCTTGTACCATGTGACAAGCTGTGACCAATCACAACTCTCACAGAATGCAGCCAGAGAAAAAAACCCTTTATGGGTGTAAAAGCAATCAGTGTAAAAAAAAAAAAAAAAATCTTCATCACCCGCCACAAGTAGTAGTGTCACTATGGCGACACTGTACTGCTAGGGTGACAGTATGTTATAAAAAAAAAAATCAAATAATAATATATACACACACATATACATACATAAATTTATTTATTTTTTTAAATTATAATTTTTGGTTATAAACTAATTTGTGTTATTTTTTTTTTTTTTACTAAAAAGATAACCGAATACATTTTGGCCAAGATTTATGAAGAAAGATTATTTATTTGCAAAATGTTCTAAGAAAAACACTTTTTTTCAAAATTTTTGGACTTTTTCATTTATATAGCAAAAAAATAAAAATCCCAGCGGTGAATAAATACCACCAAAATAAAGTTTTATCTGTCTCAAAAAAATGCTAAAAAATTCATATGGGTACAGTGTTGCATGACCGCGCAATTGTCATTCAAAGTGTGATAGCACTGAAAGCTGAAAATTGGCCTGGACAGGAAAGGAGGGGAAAGTGTCCGGACTGGAAGGAGGGGAAAGTGTCCGGACTGGAAGGAGGGGGAAAGTGTCCAGACTGGAAGGGGGGGAAAGTGTCCGGACTGGAAGGGGGGGGAAAGTGTCCGGACTGGAAGGGGGGGAAAGTGTCCGGACTGGAAGGGGGGGAAAGTGTCCGGACTGGAAGGGGGGGGGGGGGGGAAGTGTCCGGACTGGAAGGGGGGGGGGGAAAGTGTCCGGACTGGAAGGGGGGGGGGGAAAGTGTCCGGACTGGAAGGGGGGGGGGAAAGTGTCCGGACTGGAAGGGGGGGGGGGGAAAGTGTCCGGACTGGAAGGGGGGGGGGGAAAGTGTCCGGACTGGAAGGGGGGGGGGGGGGGGAAAAAAGTGTCCGGACTGGAAGGGGGGGGGGGGAAAGTGTCCGGACTGGAAGGGGGGGGGGAAAGTGTCCGGACTGGAAGGGGGGGGGGGAAAGCAGTGTCCGGACTGGAAGGGGGGGGGGGAAAGTGTCCGGACTGGAAGGGGGGGGGGGGAAAGTGTCCGGACTGGAAGGGGGGGGGGGAAAGGGGGAAACTGGAAGGGTGGTGGGGTGAAAGTGTCCGGACTGGAAGGGGGGGGGAAAGTGTCCGGACTGGAAGGGGGGGGGGGGAAAGTGTCCGGACTGGAAGGGGGGGGGGGGGGGAAGTGTCCGGACTGGAAGGGGGGGGGGGGGAAAGGAAAAGTGTCCGGACTGGAAGGGGGGGGGGGGGGGGGAAAGTGTCCGGACTGGAAGGGGGGGGGGGGGGGAGTGTCCGGACTGGAAGGGGGGGGAAGCGTCCGGACTGGAAGGGGGGGGGGAAGCGTCCAGACTGGAAGGGGGGGGGGGGGGGAAGCGTGGGGAGTAAAGCGTCCAGGACTGGACGGGGGGGGGGGAAAGCGTCCGGACTGGAAGGGGGGGGGGGAAAAAGCGTCCTGGAAGGGGGGGGGGGAAAGCGTCCCGGACTGGAAGGGGGGGGGAAAGCGTCCGGACTGGAAGGGGGGGGGGAAGTGAAAGCGTCCGGACTGGAAGGGGGTGAAAGCGTCCGGACTGGAAGGGGGGGGGGGGAAAGCGTCCGGACTGGAAGGGGGGGGAAAGCGTCCGGACTGGAAGGGGGTGGGGAAAGCGTCCGGACTGGAAGGGGGGGGTGATGTGAAAAGCGTCCGGACTGGAAGGGGGGGTGGGTCCGGACTGGAAGGGGGTTAAAGGGGGGGGTGGGAGTCCGGACTGGAAGGGGGGGGGGGGGGGGGGAAAGCGTCCGGACTGGAAGGGGGGGGGGGGAAGCGTCCGGACTGGAAGGGGGGGGGGGACTGGGAAAAGCGTCCGGACTGGAAGGGGGGGGGAAAGCGTCCGGACTGGAAGGGGGTGGGAAAGCGTCCGGGCTGGAAGGGGGGGAAAGCGTCCGGGCTGGAAGGGGGGTGAAAGTGTCCAGACTGGAAGGGGGGTGAAAGTGTCCGGACTGGAAGGGGGGTGAAAGTGTCTGGACTGGAAGAGGGGGAAAGTGTCCGGACTGGAAGGGGGTGAAAGTGTCCGGGCTGGAAGGGGGGTGAAAGTGTCCGGACTGGAAGGGGGGTGAAAGTGTCCGGACTGGAAGGGGGGAAAGTGAAAGTGTCCGGACTGGAAGGGGGGTGAAAGTGTCCGGACTGGAAGGGGGGTGAAAGTGTCCGGACTGGAAGGGGGGTGAAAGTGTCCGGACTGGAAGGGGGGTGAAAAAGTGTCCGGACTGGAAGGGGGGTGAAAGTGTCCGGACTGGAAGGGGGGTGAAAGTGTCCAGACTGGAAGGGGGGTGAAAGTGTCCGGGCTGGAAGGGGGGTGAAAGTGTCCAGACTGGAAGGGGGGGAAAGTGTCCGGACTGGAAGAGGTTAAGATATCTACTTGGAGCATCACCTTCATTTTGAGGAGAGCCTGGGATTATGAATCCATCTACTATTGGTAGATCCAGAGTTTTATGATCATCCAACCGGAGGCAGTTATCTTAGATTCCTTGGATCCATGCCCCTTATTAGGAGACCGGGAGGTCTGATCCAGGAGAGCCTGTTACTGGCCACCAACACTTATGACAATAAAGCGTATCTGACCACCTTAACCGGGGTCAGTTTTTTCTGGTGAGCAATTCACTTATTGTCTGCATGTGGTGAAATTGCATATTTTTTGATCTACGGGACTACATCTTCACGGGACTGTCACCTTAATGTTCCCTCTATATTGTTTTTTTTGTCTAGGAACATCATGTGTTAGATGATGTTGACAGTATACTGTATTATTTATTTGTTTTTATTTATTGACACACAATTATTGTAGCGCCTGCCTATTCATGTATTTAATTGTTCACGTGTATTTCACTTTCTAGGGGCAGCAGCTAACCTCTCTTTGCCTGGCTCAATGCGGGCAACACTTATATTGTTTAGTTAGTCATTTGGGCGCCACAATATTCCAATTACTTATATTCGGGTCATGTGACCTTCGTGATTGGCTGTCACATGAATGGAAAGCTCCCGATCAAAAGTATGCATCGGGAGCTCACCAATCCCCACCAGCTACTGCGCTGGGAGTGCGCTCTCAGGACAGTAAGTTGTTGTAACGGCCACATATATGCGGCTGCTCGGTGTTAAAGTGGAGCTACACTGTATCTGAGCACCACAAACCAAAAGCACTATTTAATCCTTTTTTTAATATTCAAAGCAAACTCATCCATCCATGTCTCTATGCTTTATTTTGTTGAGAAAAACACCACCGTAGCATTTCTGGCCATCTTGAGTAAGGGGCATGCTCCTAATGAGACCACGGATGGTGTCCTGGAGGATTTCCTCCCAGATCTGAACCAGGGCATCACTGAGCTCCTGGACAGTCCGAGGTACAACCTGGTGGCACCGGATGGACCGAAACATGACATCCCAGAGGTGTTCTATTGGATTTAGGTCAGGCGAACGTGGGGGACAATCAATGGTATCAATTCCTTCATCCTCCAGGAACTGCCTGCATACTCTCACCACACGAGGCCGGGGCATTGTTGTGCACCAAGAGGAACCCGGGACCCACTGCACCAAGAGGAACCCGGGACCCACTGCACCAAGAGGAACCCGGGACCCACTGCACCAAGAGGAACCCGGGACCCACTGCACCAAGAGGAACCCAGGACCCACTGCACCAAGAGGAACCCAGGACCCACTGCACCAAGAGGAACCCAGGACCCACTGCACCAAGAGGAACCCAGGACCCCCTGCACCAGGAGGAACCCAGGACCCACTGCACCAGGAGGAACCCAGTGCACCAGCGTAGGGTCTGACAATGGGTCCAAGGATTTCATCCCGATACCTAATAGCAGTCAGGGTGCCATTGTCTAGCCTGTAGAGGTCTGTGCGTCTCTCCATGGATATGCCTCCCCAGACCATCACTGACCCACCACCAAATGGTCATGCTGAACCATGTTACAGGCAGCAGAACGTTCTCCACGGCTTCTCCAGACTCTTTCACGTCTGTCACATGTGCTCAGGGTGAACCTGCTCTCATCTGTGAAAAGCACAGGGTGCCAGTGGTGGACCTGCCAATTCTGGTGTTCAATGGCAAATGCTAATCGAGCTCTATGGTGCCGGGC